GCTGCTTCTTTTTACTTAAGCCAGGAGGCCTTGTTGTCTAGTGCCCTTGCTGTTATTCTGTAGGGTTTCCTTAGCTCAAAATTTGGTACGAGGATCTACAGGGGAGAGTGCTAATTCTGGTTCGGTATAGTATTTTTGCTTATCTTTATTTTTGAATAAATAATTAAGAGTTAAAGCTTTATTTGCAATATTAAGCTTTACTAATTCAAGTTCTACAATATTTCTACCTAATGAGTCTGCAAATTGATGGTTTTAAAAAAGATCTGATACTTGTATATTCAAGTTTTTAGCTGCTAGTGCAATTTATTTGTTTTTTTGTGAATTTGATTCTAATTTCATATAAGAGAGTTTATGATTGGTAGGATCCTTTATTCTTGCCTTGTGCAAACAATCAATATCGATGCCAAATAATGTTACTCCAGAAATGCGTGTATTTGGTTTATTACAAATATTCTATAATCATTTATTTATTTTTAAATTAAATATATAAAATGCAACAATTTTAACAATTTTTAATTTATATTTACTATTAAAAATCTAGTTCTAGCATTACTTGCCGAAGTCACACTACTACATGATACCATATTTCCACAAAGATTTATCCAACTAATTGTATAACTAACAATACCAGTTTGTTGATATTTAGTTTTACACCTTACAGATAATCCTGATAAAGTTGTTTCGATTTCATATTCATCAGGAATCTGATATACAATACCATTTTTTTTAGAGTAAATTTAGATATAAATGGATAATAGCCAAGTCTGATAACTTTGTAATATTGCCACTGATCCTTGCCACCTATTTTACGTATAGCTATAATATATGGATATTTATTATAAAATATACGACTATCTTTATAGTTTGGTAAGTTTTGTACTAAATATTATAAATATTTATTAGTTCAATAAAATATAGGTATTTATAATTAAAATGAATATAACTAACATTGATTTTCTACATTTTTACTTGAATTTTTAGTTGACTTAATATAATTTAAATATATTTTATAAATGATAAGAAAAAATTAAAAATTTACTATGATATAAAAAAAAAAAGTAATTTGCATTTGTAAAAAAAACATCAGTCTTGTTAAAATCACCATTCTGCAAAATTTGGTTACTTTGTTTTAGTTCAGTTACATTATTTGATATATTCCGTTCTATGTTTACCATTACTTGAAGTTGAGATTCTTGTTGAACCTTTTTAGAACTTAAATTAAATTTGTAGTGCGGTTTTTGAAAATGTATAGTGTAATTTCTATTACCATTACAAAATGTTTCAGGGGTAAGTGGAGGTTTAAAGATAAAGGATTTTTTGTGCATCGGTAATACAATAAACGTAATGCACGTATGAGATATAAATTTATATAGTTGACCAATCAATAATATTGCACGTGGATAATGTGATATTTGTTGTGATTAACTCTGATTAAAAATTACTAAATAAGGGGGATGGCTAAAGCCATGTACCCACGTGATTTTTCGAAAATTTAATTAAAATTAGGGTTAGGGCTAGTTTGGTGTTAGGGATAGGATTAGGAATAGCGCAAGTATATAGGCAAAATTGCCTTCCCGACATTTTTTGTTAATAGCCCAAGACAGGTTTAGACTGCCGTTTTTTATGTTCTTGCGTTTTCTTGTTTTTTTGCCTTCTTCAGGCTGATCCGTGTAAACAAAATTTCGCGACTCCGGTTGGTTGATTTACACAAAAATGTCACGTGGGTACATGGCTTTAGACGACCCTAAATAAGGAAATTTTGGAATTCAATATCCAATAAAAATCTGTGATTTACATATTAAATTCTGTATTATCATGTTTGCAGATCAGTCGAGTCAAATCTGCCCATATGTGAAACTTTTTTTATTTTAATTATATGGGCTCATATAATTTAAATAAAAAAAATTTAGTCGAATTTGAATAGCTAGTGATCAAGAAATATTCATTATAATTTAAAAAAGATTTGGCCGCAGCTGCCGCATATAGTACAGTACACAAAAAATTTTTTGAATATTCTAGAACAAAATTCATATCTCAAAAGTTTCTTTATGAACCCACCCTTTGTATTCTAAGTAAACTTACTCCTTGCGAAATTTTGCATATGTGTATTTTACATAACATACGTGTACTGTACATAGTGATGTGCCACGTACTGTATTATACGTACTGTACTGTACTGTACGTACTGTACGATAAAATTTTGACAGTCATTTTATAAGCTCAGAAGTTTAGGCCAGAAAAGAAAATGGTATCGTTAATTGTCAAGGACCCGTTCCCTGAATCAAGTAACCTCAAGGGCTAGCGTGCAGCAGTAACGAAGGGTACCCTGTTCACGTTCCAGTGAGCGATGTCACCCAGTGTTGGCAAATGACAATATCATAATGTCATATGATATATTCCTATGATATAGATTCATATGAATCATATGCTA